GTATTTATACAATTTATTTATATTATTACTTTAAACATATTTTTATAAATAAACAATTTATTCAATTTATTTCCACAAAATGTCTAAAAATATTGAAAATGTTCGTCCAAAAGTTCTTCAAATCCCAAGTGGTTCAGGAGAACTTGACAGAATACAAAGAATTATTAAAACTCTAAGTGCCGATAAGAAAAAATTACAAGAAGAAATAGAACTTTTAAAATCGAACAACCCTCTGTTAGAACAAGAAAACCAAGACTTAAAAAATACAAATGATACTTTAAAAAAAGAAAATGAAAATTTAAAAAAAGAAAATGAAGAATTAAAAAATGAAATTAAACTGCTTACCGATAAAATTCATGATTTAGAAGAAGAAAATAAAAAGATTAAAGCAGAAAACAAAAAAAATACAAAAGAAAATTTGAGTTACGAAGAAACTTTAAAAACTCTTAACTCGAATATTAATACTACTATAAGTATGTTTAACGTAAAATTTAATATTAATGATCCAATTGAAAAAAGAATGGAACAAATCGTGAATTTAGTAAAAGTGATGATGAATATTTCTGAATAATCACTATTTTGTCAAACTATAGAACTATATAAAACTTTATAGTTTTAACTTATATTATAAATAACATATTTACTGTATATATAAAATAAATTTTATAATAAATCAAGTTATTTTTTTTATAAATTTGTAACACAGAAATAATTTATTTCGTAATTGATTAAACAACTCCGAACCTCCGAAACTCCATTTTGATAAACTATATTTAGTAATTAATTTGCAAACTCCGAAACTCTGATAAATTTAAATAATTTGTAATACCAAATATTAAAATAATGATCATCAATACAACTATCTACGAATTTCTGTTTTTTGGTAATTTTACACTTTTATTTCTTGAGAGTAGGGCCTCTTTCTTCGAAAGTTTAGTTCGTAAAATAAAAATCACAAAGTTCGAGTGATTCTTTCTTAGAAATGCATAAATTTCTCCTTGAAATAAAAGTTAAATTTTATATGTTATTTTTTTTACTAACTAATAATTTTTTTTTTTGGTTTGTTTCTATGGTCATTATATGAAAGATGGTTTCAAAACCGCATTTATATTTCTTGTAAAGAAATATCGTGTCAGAAGGTGAGAATCCTTTATCTTTCACTTAGAAATATGACAGAAATCCATTGATCATTAAGAACCTCACCAATCCTTGATGTGCGGTTGCAGTTTATGATGTATTCTCCTTTCTTCATTTGAAGAGAATATTGAAACGTAAGTCACATAGCCTTCATATGAACATATGTGGTTATTAACTTGATCTTATTAAACGTATATTTTAAGAAAAAGAAAAAAAAAAGAAGAATTTAAATTATTGATATATTTTATAACACATTCCATTTTATTATATGTTTTAAGGTTTTTGGTTGTTTTTTTTCGTTCGTTTGAGATAGTTTTGGCAATCTATAAAAACAACAAGATTTTGGTCAGATATTATTATCTGATTTCAAAAGTTTTCAGGTTCAGAGTTGCCTGCGAAAAGCTCAAATTTCTCCTACTGCAGGATGTAAAAGCAGTCATAATCCTTTATTTGTTTCTACAATAAAAACATTAAATACGAAAATAATAATTTAATATGTAATAAATTCGAATTTGTATATTTATAAAATAAATATTAAATGAAAAATATAATTAATTTTATAATAATAAATTTATAATATAAATTTATAATGTACCAAATTAAACATTTAATAAAATAAACAATTTTTTAAAGTAAAGAACAAATATTATTCATTAATGTAAACTCCGAATGTGAAAATTGCTGTTCAGTCAAATGTCACTGTCGACAAAAAAACTGAATTATCCAATATCATTAAATTTACTATTAAAATTTAAAAACATGATGAGCCAAATGTCACTGTCGGCAGATTTTGTTCAGTCAAATGTCGCTGTCGGCAATTTTTCCTAAAAATCATGATATTTAACCAATCAAATCTTTGCAAGACTTGTGATTAACCAATCGGAGTTTGTAAATTAAGTACCCGGAATACAAAATGTCGTCATCTAGAAAAAATTATTACTGTTTCCTAATTTGGTAATCTGAATTACATAGTCTTACATAACACTGTTTGTAAGACTATGTGTTAAATATTAAACTGAAAAATAAAAAAGTATTAAGATCAGTAATTTGATCATTGGTTGTAGCTGTTTTTAAGTATTCTTTAAAATAACTATAGAAAAAAAAAGAAATCTATTTAGAGCTTTGAGTTTTAGAATCTGGCTCAGAAAGTTTTGACCTATTGGATTCAATAAGTTTTTAGTTAAGTTTGATGAATTTTTGTTTTGCTTGGTTGGCAAGTTCATAAAGATCTTTAAAAAGAAAAGCAATATTAAAGGTAGCAGTATAAGGTTGAGATAGAAAGATAGAGTTATCGATAGTTGGATAAATAAATTTAAAAGGTGAGATTTAGAAGGAAAGTTTAAAAAAGTAAGTAGTTAAATTGTGAAGATTATGTGTAGTATTTGGTATAAGGATTGTATATTTGGTAGGGTCTATACATGTATATATATGGTATAATGCAGTTTTGATAGCAGTACTTGTATAGTCTTGGATAGATAAGATAGTAGAGGAGTGGATTTCTTTGAGAACAAGTTTTCTGTATTCATTGTTCATTGTTGTTACTATTTGGGATTTGATATAGTTATAAACTTTTTGTTTATTA